ATCCTTAAAGACCTACAGTTATGGAATGTCTAAAGCCATGCTCTAAGTTCCTTGAAGGCAGGAAGCTTGGCACAACTCAGGTTTTCTCAACCTTGGCACTGTTGACATTTTACTGTATAATCCTTTGTTAGGGTCAAAATGGGGTCTGTCCTCTGCACTGTAGGATGTTTTGGCCTCTACCCACTAGAATTCAGTTGTACTCCCTCTACTGTGGCAACTAAAAATGTCTCTAGACAATGCCAGTGTCCCCAGGGTATGTGAAAACTACCAACATGCTACAAGTACTCAAATGTAGAAAATGGAACTCCCACGAAGCAGGATGGAATGCACAGCAGTGTCTGTGGGAAGGATTATGAAGCTGAACTCTAACAGCCAGATGCAACCTCTAACTGCTCTAAATGGAGTGTGCAGCTGCATCCTGGCCAAGACACATCCATCTTTAGGCACTCCTGGTTCTCTGGAAAAATGAGCTCACCGAGGTCAGCGGTTGTCAAAGTGACACTAAGAAACACCTGAAGTACCGATAACCCTGCTTTCCATGACTTGGGTGCTAAGAGTTCATTTAAGAACTCTTCATCTGCTAAAATAGCAGATTAGTCCTGGCTGGTGTGGCCCAGTGGACGGAGTGCCAGCCTGCGAATCAAAGGGTTGCTCGTTCAATTCCCAGTCAGGGCACATGCCTGGGTTGCAGGCCAGGGCCCCCACGGGGGGCATGTGAGAGGCAACCACACATTGATGTTTCTCTCCCTTCTTCCCTTCCCTTCCCCTCTCTAAAAAGAAAGTAAATAAAATGGCAGATTACAAATTAGAAAAATATCAGATGTAAGTTTATAAAAAGTGGCCCTCAACAGTTGCTTCACTTTCTTGTTTTAGGTGGATGGAGGTGATCCGAAGTGCCACCAGCTCGGCCTCCCGTGCCCACATTCTGAGTCACAACGACTCTATGTATTAATGGCAGGATATATGTTGATTATTTCAGCAGTGGCTGCTTTCTTGGAAGACATTTAAGGAAGTAAATGTCTGTATTAATGAAGCCTAGTAAAATTAACATCTGTCTGAAAACAAAAACATGGTTTTACAGCAGCTGTCATGTCTCCACAGAACCATTTTTAACCTTGTGTTTTCTGCTGTTAATTTTCCATCTGAACAGAAGTGCTCCCACCTCCAAGGCTTGGTGGTGTTTTCTGTCATTCACTTTACGGGCTGTTTTTAGCTTGTGCCAGTATTAAAACAGTCATTAATATAGTGCCAAATGACAATTTTTCCTCCATGACTGCACGTTAAAAGCAGTACAAACACATCTGTTCAACCAAAAGACAGGATAGGTGCTCTTCTTTTTCGCTTATCGGCTGCTGCATTAAAAAGAAAAAAAAAAAAAAAAGGGATTTTTCCAGTGTTTGCGATATACATGGCAGTCTTAAGCAATGAGATCATTTTCAGATTTCATTTTTTTTTCAACCTTTCTACTTTTATAATAGGAAGTTAGTCAGATTAACTCCTTTGATTAGTAAGGAATTTGCAGCGCACTTCATTCCACTAGTCTCATGCTCCAATGAAACACTAGTTACCAGACCTACTTTCTGGCGCAAGTTGACCAAATTATGTAAGTGATTACTATTTACAAACTACAGCAGGTGGTTTTCTGTTAAGCAGAAATCCAGTGCCATGTCTAGACTGTCACTGTACTGTTAGTGGTATATACAATGGAAAGATATTAAGCTGTGGTGTTTTGCTGTCTGTCTCACAAGCATGAAAACCTGTATGTCAGTTATCAGGGCCATCTGTGATGTCATGTTATGGAGGGTTTTTGTGAGCTTCAGTGGATGCAGAAGCACTATGAACAATGGTGTGTAGTCCCCTGGCACCCGTTATCATACCTATCTATATCCTGCTGCAACTGTAGTTTGGAACTGCACATTCTATAGTAGTATATATCGTGTCTGTTTTCAAAAAACATTCTCTTTCCTTTTTTTATACTCATTCCTCCCCAGGTATATGGTATCAAGTAATAACACTGCACATCCTTGACAGTCAGACTACACAGGGACATTGTTTCCAGTAAACCTGGGCCCACTGCTCAACATCTGTTTGCCTATTCTCTGTGGAGACCAGGTGGCTGTTATTCCCCAGTGTTCTTAAGCCCTTTCTGACGTTGTCCAGAGAGGGGGCGGCCAATCAACCCAGTCCTCTTCCCCGCACCACAGCTGGGAAAAGCCCCTTACAGAGAAAACACAGGACTACCCCGACTTTGTGGAGCTGTGACTGATTGTGTGGAAACGGCAATGTACAAATGGACAAGTAGCTTGAAATGTGTTAATCATTTGCCTTACAATGTGTACCAGATGGTTTTAAGTACTAACAAAAGGGAATAAAAATACCTCACACCATAATCCAGCATATTGAAGTTTTAAGGCAAAACAAAAACTTGTCTCTCATCTTTATTTTAATCTAACTTTGGGTGGTGATGCCTCTATAGGCATGGACAGAGTTGGCTGGTCAATACAGAGTGCCTGTCAGAGAGAAAAACACTCAATTGCTCATTAAGACAAACGTTTTGAAAAACGTGGTATTTTAGTCTCTGCTTCATTCAACTTGGCCCTCAGAGAAAGAACATTTCTAGGATACTGATCTTCAGTGGCTATAAAAGACAATGACTAAAACCCAAAGGAGGAGGGCAAAGCAGAGAGGAGCTATCTGTCACTTCCTTTATAAAAAGGGCCCTGGAGACAAACTAGTTCCCTGAGGTTTTCCCCCACAATCCAGGGGCAAGACCAACACCCACCAGGAAACATGAAGCTCAAGTGCACAGAGCAGAGGCAGTACTGGGAAAATTCTCCAGAACTCAACTAAATTCTAAAAGGCTCAACGATAAGGTGGTCTCCTACTTCAGTATTTCTGAATGAGTCCAAACCATTTGCTGGAAACAGTTCAGATCTATGAGTACCGCCACTATGCTCCCTGCTCCTTTGTGACTTCAAAGAACACCTATGAGTCCAAATCATGTGGGCAATTTAGACTGATCCCAAGTTGCCAGAAACAGTTTCAGATAACTTCTGTCTTAGTCCATTCAGGCAACTATAACAAAAATACCATTGACTGGGTGACTTATAAACAATAGAAATTTCTCATAGTTCTGAAGTCTGGGAAGTCCAAGATCAAGGTGCCGGCAGATTCGGTGTCTGGTGGGGACCTCCTTCCTGGTTCACAGCCAGACTCAATGCTTCTGGACAAGGTGGAAGGGCTGAGGAATTTCTGAGGAATCTCTTCTCTATAGGCACTAATCCCATATATGGGCTCCATCCTTGTGACCAAATCATTTCCTCCTAATACCATCACACTGGGCATTAGGATTTCAACGTATTGATGGGGTGGGGCAGACACATTTAATCTATTCCCTCTACACATAAGACAAGAAATTACAAAAATAATTGTTTTCTGTGAACTTTATTGACCCTAGAGTGATACAGTACCTGTGCTTAAGAACACACCTTGCAGCACTTCCCATTTATTGCCATATTTTATAGCAGAAATACACAAGCCATATTTTTAAGGAAGAAAATATAAAAACGCTTATAAACAGACCATGTTTTGCCAAAAGAAAGGTACAAAATACTACATGAAGAACTAAACTAGATACTTCTTCACAAGACCAACCTGAGAAAAAACTGTCAGATTCAGAAAATGTGTGGCACTTGGTTACATCAAGACAATCATGAGACTGACTATTAGGGCACCAAGACATCCCAGACCATGCTGGTGGCCACCTCGTTTACTGCAGCCAGAGTGGACACAGAAAAGAATTTCAGAAGCATCGACAACCAGCCACAGTCAGCACACTGCCTCCGTTTCCAAAAGATGGTAGTTATGTTTGTGTGAGCTCCCACACGAGGAGCTCTGGCATCATCTGCAGTCTCCAGGCAGATAAGCTGTAAACTGCGGGGATCTGGCACCAAGAGGCTTGCAAGTCATACATGAACCCTGAATGCTGAGCTCACAGGTCTGGCTCAACACGAACAGCAGGTTAGATGGTCAGAGGCAGGTTCCATTTTAGCTCTGGTAACTGGGCTTTTAGTGAAGGACCTGAAGTGGATACACAAATGCCAGCCTCCTTGGCTAAACAAGATGCCCTTAAAAACACATAAGCTGAGTTCATATGTCTACAGAAATTAACAAATCAGAAGAGACTGTGTAAGGAGGTCATCCACTTCTAAAATCCAATAAAACCATATCTTTCCCAGGAAGCTTAATAGGAGATAATTCCAACGAACTACACAATAATTTGCTGCTTTATATGAGAGACAGCATTGTGTATTAATAGTCTAGTGATTGCAGAATATCACCAACCCCTTACACCAATAGGCTTGACTGAAATCCCATCTACCTATGAACATAACTATCACTTGTATTTGCAATTGGCTTCAGCTTCATCTTGATACAAGGTCTGTCCAGAAGGTATCCAGCCATGTAATATGAAAAAGAGAGACATTTATTGATGAAGATACAAGAAACACTACACAGGACAATGAAGCCTCAGTCCCCTCCAAAGTAGGTACCTTAGGACATCACACAGCTCTCCCAGTCACCATCACCTGCCCCATCATATTTCCCTGAATCTCACCCCTTTCAAAGGCAATTTTAGTTTTGGGAAAAGTCAGAAGTTGCAGGGCGCCAGATCTGGGCTGTAGCAGGGCTGAGTCACCTGGGTGATTTGATGTTTTTGTCAAAATATTCTGCACAAGACATGCATGAGCAGCTGTGTTCTCACGATGAAGCTGCCAATCACCAGCTGTCCATAACTGGCCGTCTGAATAGTTTCCGTGGAGTAATGTTCAAGCTTAATGCAAAACCTGACGCAGATTCATTGCTCTACTCATTCAGTAATTTTGAATGTGCTGACCACATACTACCCATGTTCATTCAATGGCATCTACCACCCCCACTGACTAGTACAGTGAGATCATTACTGTTCACCCATGTGCATTCCAGTGCACTCTCTTTGGCTGCCAGGATAAACTGATGTCGCTCAAACGGTTCTGGTTATTATTAACAATGGCTTGAGTTTTTCTGTACAGACCTTGTATGCCATTGTCCAATTATAGGAACTTTGAATCAGAAAGCTGCTAAGTTGCCTCTTTTAAAATTACACAAGCACTGTGAAAAACTGATCTTTGGTATATGCCTCATAGGGAAATCAAAGTTCCCTTATACTCTCAGGAACACAAAATAAAGTATTCTAAAATATATTATTCAAGTTAACAGTCTTGCTGCAGAAATAACATGCACAGTAAGAATTAGCAAGTCAGTTCTATTTCCCCTAACCAAAATGCATCCTTTATAGAAATTCAACCCAAATGTACTTCTAATAAAAAAAAAATTAATTTTAGAATTTAAAAATTAGACTCCACTAACAAACCTAAACAAAAACCACCCATTCTAACATCTCTGACTCAGGCCTCTGCCCCCTCCCCGTAGCTCCCAAGCCACAAGGCCAGTAGGAATCTGACCTTACATCCCGAAGTTTACCCAGTAACTTCCTTGCCTCCAAAAATCCTTTGTCTGTCCCCTCAAGAGCTGCTCCTCCAAAAAGAGACAACAATGATTCATTATCAACAGACATTATAAAAGTGCCACACATACTTAAATCAGACAGTCAAAAATTGCTGTAAGAACTCTATTTCCCATATCAGAGACCCAGACATTTATTTCCCCCCTTGGCAAGCAAAACCCTGACACAAAACCAAGAAACATGTATGCCTGACTGACAATCTAGTAGACACAGGCCCCTATAAGAGAACAAAATAACCCTTAACTGAGGTCCCCAGGAACAGAAAAAATAATTTTACAAATCAGCAGTGTTCAACTGTATCTTCTCAATGACCAATTTTTAAAAGTTGCATAGAGAACTGACCTGAACATTCAGCATTTTGAATGTGGACACCTCTTCCCAGAGCATTCTAAAATGTTTCATCACACACAAAGTCACACATTCACACAGACAAATGCAGCAGGTGCACTGCCCTCTCAAGAGTCACATTTTAAGGAGAGTATGCAAGGTAAGTATTATAAAATTTATTCATGTAAGCATTCAGACATTTTTAGGTGGGAAAGGTAATATGCAGATTTCACTACAAGGTGCAACAAAATCATACTGGGAAGAATGGTACAGCTGGCGCAGGACTGGCAGTGGAACGATTCTAAATAAATGTTAGATGAGAGCACTTCATTGGGGAAAAACTTAAAATAATAATTTAAAGCTTCATGAGACAAGATATGTTCCAATTTAAAACACTAAGAAATAGTACCATCAATGAAAAAGGAAATCAACTTCTAAGTGTACCAAAAGGGCTATAGGGCAAATGAGGAAAATTTTCATTTGCTGAGGTACAAATAGGAGTGTTCCTTAAGAGGGGCATTAATTATTATTAATGGCAAACCCTGCAAATACAAAATAAAACCCAAATCACTGGTCACATGATCCAAAATTTACATGTAATAAAGGCAAGGCAATAGACTCAAGTTATGGCCTGTCAAATATTTACTCCACTGACATTATCTACAGAAGCACTTGGCCAATTTGTACACAGTGATTTCTTATGCACGCCAAAAAGGTTCCTGTAAAAATGACACTATATACAAATCTGTACACTGATCCACTAGAGCAATTCTCCATCTCCCAGGGAGGGGAGTAACAACTTAAAGCCGGATACCTGAGGTTTCATTTCTTCAGTTGCCTTATCTTAATCCCAAATATACATTTTAGGGTTTGATTTTTGTTTTTTAAAAGACACTTTCCTTGATATGTGTGCTATGGTTAAAATTAAAAACAAGAATAATAAAACGATCACTTGAAGGAGCTGACCCTCCCCACCCCACCTAGAGACTTATCTGGCCAAGGCCAGTGAAGAAGGACCCATGGCTGCGGACAGGCAGCCTCGGCTGGGGGACAGCCCCTCAATGGTGCGTATCTTCAGCGGAGTCAGCAAAGGCTCTCATTGACTTTTTTAAAGAAGGGATGAAGAAGAAAGGAAAAAACAAAACCCCAAACGCCAAAGGAATTTCAATGGGATGAAGTTCCTCCACCACTTAGAGAATATCTAGGAAAAAAGAGAGAGAGAAATAGAAGTAAATGTCATTTCTCTAAATTAAAAAAAATTTGCAAAAATTCAAATAACCAAAATTCTTATTTTTACAAACATTCCCAAGTCATAAAAAAATGGAACTATCAATGAATTAATTATAAAGAATTCATAAAAATTAAGAAAAATCCTGATTCTAACACAAAAATTTCCACAGATATTGGTAATAAGTGAGAATGTGATTCAGCATTCTAGGAGGAAAAAAAGCAGATATGAATAAAACAGTAAATGATATACCTTTACTTATAATCAATTTCTAAAAAATTGAAAAATCAGTAATATCCAACGACACAGTAAGATTCCCAGGACGCATAAACGTGGCTGGTTTGAACACCAGTGCAAGAAACCCTTTTGACCATAAAAAGAAATACTGATGCTAGCTCAGATAATCTACTTCCTGGAAGGGTCTCTTGGTTTTTTTGCAATTATAATAATTAGGAAGCAACTCTGATGTCCAACAATGGAGAAAGAGTTAAGTAAGTAACATCTGAAATAACAGATCAGAAATTGTAATTATATTCAAACAATATGAAAACTATGCACAGTAAGTGTGCACAAAATTATACAGGTAGTTTTATAATTTCTTTATCATAAGTACAAAAGAATGTCCAAAAAACTATGTGCACTATAATTTTAATAAATATAAAAAATTAGTAAGTTCGTCACATCCACATAATAATAGAAGGCAATGAACGAAAAATAATGGAACGGTACTTGGGCTACAGTGGTGGGATCATGTATACTTTCTTTTGTTTTCCAAAAATTCCATAGTATTTTCTTGCTTTGGAATACAAAAAAGGGTGAAGGTAGGGGACCCCATCATGGCCAAGATTCCCTCAATCACTTCAAAACTGACCCAATCACAGCAGATGGGTATGGATACATTTAATGAGACTCGTAACTATTCCAACCTAGAACTCCTCTTTTCAGGCATTTATAATACTTAGCACTCTCCCAAAGAACAAATGGTTACATAAGATCCTCTTGAAAAGCAAGCTGTAGCCACAGATCCTCAGGCTCACTTTTCAGAAAACATAAATACTTAAGTCACAGGAGGAGTTCATGCCACACAAAAGGATCCACACATGAATCCAAACTAAGATGTACAGGAAATCTTTGAAATGCATTAGACAAAAGTGGATTTCTCTTTTTTTTTGAGGTGATACACTGAACTAATGCATTTGGGAATAAGATATGAAGCAGGAGCAAGGGCCTCCATGATTTGTTGGCATCTGGGTGGGGGACACTCAGGAAGAGCTTGGGGAGTCCAGAAGGAGTAAATGGACAGTAATAGCCAAAGCCTGCAAGAAGAAGACAGGGACCCCAGGGAGGAGGGTCATATGATGGCTGAGGAGGCGGGTTCACAATCACAAAAGGAAGAAAAACAAGAGAAAGAAGAGCAGTCTGGGAAAGAAAGAAAGAGTACTAAATTAGTATGGCTAATGCATCACTGCAAAGTAAAACTTCAAACACAATGTGGACAGTGGGCAGTTGTATTTGCATAACATATGGCGGCTGAGCATCTGAAATGTGGTGAGTTCACAACAGATATGCTGTGAAATGTAAAATGCACACTGGATTGCAAAGACTCAGCACAAAAAGAAGAGTGAAATACCTTACTGATAATGTTTTAAATTGATTATGTGTTAAAATAACATTGTGGGTACAGTGGGTTAAAAAATCCAATATTAAAATTATTTCACTTGCTCTTCTTTTATTTTTTTTTCAATGTGGCTACTAGAAAATTTAAAGTTCTATATGTGGCTAATGTATCCTCCTGTCAGTGCTGATACAGATCAACTCACATCAGCAACTGAAAAAAGGGGAACAGGGAGACAGACCAATTAAATAGGCACAGGCCACACCTGAGCCCTGGAGCTGCAGGGAAACCAAGGCGGTTGTATGAGTCACTGGTAATACTTTCACGCAATTTGGGAAAACACCAATCCTAAAAGTGACATTACAAAAGCAGAAAACAAAACCAGAAATAAGATGACAAAACCACCTGGTCTCTGGTTGGTTCTCTTTGTTTGACACTTAAAGTCTTTTTTCATTTTTAATGAGAAGTAAATGTCACTAAAATTAGGTGTGAACTGATTCCAAGTTTCTTTGAGAAATTAGAAAAATGGGCCATTATTAGGTCGCAGGAGAAAAGCTTACATGATGATAATACAAAACAGTCAATGAATATTGTAACAAAGCTATGTTAGAAATCAACTGCATACACATAATGGACAGATATACGCAAACATAGTAACAACAGTGTTTGTGTGAGGATATGGTGACTTCATTGTTCCATTTTCCTTTATTTCTGTAATTCATCAGTATCAAAAGGGGCAGAGGAAAAGAGGACAATTCTGTTTATTGCTTCAGAATTGAAGGAAGACAAGTAAACATTCTACATTCTCTAGCCTAACCTTTAGAGCAAGTTAGAATGTTGGGATGTCTTTCACAAAGGAACCTGAGTTAGGAGAATATACCTGAAGGGTTAGAATTAAGGTTTTCTCTTGATGTCCCTCTTTAGAGGGACTCTTCACAGGGTATCGGGAAGCCCCTTCAATCATCACTTGTAAGAAGTGGCAAAGGTGACCCCCAAGTACCCCAAATTTCTTTATATGCTATCAAGCTGACACTTCAGAACAGACCTGAAATGCTCCAAATTCTCACCAGGTTTCAGTCATCATTTGGAAGGTGAATGTCAAAGCAATGACATGCCTTGTGCTTCAGGATGTTGAAGGTTTGGGATGTGGAGGAGAAAAAGAGCCACAGAGATGCTAGACACACACGTCCATTCTCTCTAAACACCCCCAAATGACTGTACTTATGCCACAGTGTGAGTCAGTGTGGCCTCCTCCACAAGGAGACTCCTAAAACCAGTTCAAGAGAGTGGGAAGGGAAGACTCAGATCATTACTCCTCACCTGCAATCAGGGCCACCAGTGGGGACCAGAGCACCCTGCAGGCTGTGCAGACAGAGTGCCCTAAATCACAACATGGCTTCAGGACAAGAGGCAGAGTTGAGATCTGGAATGGGGACCCAAGCAAAAGAGCAGACCCACATCCATACTCATGGAACTCACCAAGCCCAAACTTCTGGAATATTTGGACATTTGACTTTAAAGCATAAAACCAAACAGATAATTACCAACATGTGGCTAAGGGCTATATATAATTAGGCTGCATCATTAAAACAGACATTTTAAAGTCGTTTCATATTTATGTGGCACAAACCTCTGTGGCCCTTCCCAGTCATTTCCAGATTCCTATCACTCATTCATACTGATTTCTCTAATTCAGAAGAAAATATAGAAACAGCCTAAGAACAAAGCGTCCAACTAACAAATGGAGGACAGAAGAGAAGTCTGTTAGCAGGTGCTCCCACACCCAGCCTGCAAAAGCTGGAGGACAAACATGGTGTGCCCTCCATGAGGCTCTCCACCCTGGAGGCAGCGAGTTTGGCTACAACATCGGTGGCAGTTACCTCTGGAGCCGCTGTACGAGCTGGGCCACCATGGTGTCCGAGATCCCGGGGCATGCCTCTTCTGCCAAGTAGATGGCCCCTCGCAGTTCTTCTATGGACCCCATGTTCCCTCCACATGCCTGGCTCTTCTCCTTCAACTTGAAAGACACAAATGTGAAGATCACAGAAATCAACGAGCATCTATTTCAGAGTAACACAATGTGTGTGGCTCCATAATGGCTCCAGCCACAGATGTCCTGGTGCTGCTTCAGCTCAGGAATGGCTTCTTTTCCATTCCTTTCAATGAACAGCTTTTTGAGTGCTGAGAACACTATGTATAGAAAAGTCATTAGTTAGACCTAAGTCACTACCTTCACTAGAGTGAACAGAGACAACTAGTTTCCTGTGCATCTTTTCAAAATGTGATCATAGCAGTCTGTCCTCTATTTTTTTTCCATTTCAATCTAATCTTATACCAGAAAAGCAATTTCAAAATTACTAGTTTCCACACTGAAACTGCAATATTGGCTACCTAATTTATTGCAGTAAACTGCAATAAAGCTTACTGATGTTAATAGGTTGGTTATTAAACACCAACAAACTGTCTTGTTGGTCCTCTTTTCTCAAAATATTATATTTCGTGTAAGTGTCAGCCCTAAATTCTGGGAATCTACATGTCCCTCTTAACACCTCTGTTCCCATGAGAAATCATAACAGTATCATGACAATGTATTCAGGCACCTTCCTCATTTTAAGATCAACTTAGTCTCTTTCTGGAATGCAACCAAAGCGTACAATGCTGAAGGGGAGCTGCTCAGGTCAAGGAGCAGCCAAGTCAGGATTGAAGGCCACTTGGAACAGGCTCCAGTTGGCAGATGCAGAGAAAAAAAAATATTACCTCCTCTTCAGGAGTCCCCCCTCCTCAGTTACATCTTTAAGAAATAGTTTACAAAATAGCTTTGGTTTTTAAAGCTGCTGTGAACACTATCATTCCCAGCATCCATCTCATTCTAGAAATAATGGCTTCTACTTCTTCCTGCTAAACGGATATACAGAACAACTAGAAAGGCCTGGCCTGTGAGTTTACTTTTAAGTTTAGCTGGAAAAAAAATGAATATATTATTACATCTAGGATTACTCATTAATTCTGAATACTGATTTCAGAATTTCTTCATATGCTCCATAACAAATAAACAGCTTCAGACAAATGAGAAAACATACGTCATTTTCCCAAATTGCCTTACTCATCCCAGTGAAGCTACAGTAAAGGGTGTCAGGAACGCAAGGGAGTATCTAGTAAACCTGAAGGACCAATCTTCCAAACAACATATAAAAAGGGCAAAATGTGGTCTTAAGGGTACCCTAGGAAGAGCAATGGTATCCAGCCAAGGATACCAATGAAAAATCAGCCAAGGCTGGAGCCAGAAAGCAACACAGAAGGGGCCTCTATCTGCCCTGTGCCACTTAGTTTTCCTACTAAAAGGAGTATGTTCAGTGGTTCTAACCCTGTAACTTGAGTCTGGGCCCTAATCTGCCTGGTTGGAAGGCAGGGCCCTTAAGCAAACTTGTAAAAGCAGTTGCTGGGCTGGGAAAGGGATGTAGCCTGGGGGAGCGGCTAAAAGAGGGAGCAGGATAGAGACTGGCCTAGGGTACCCTGGGCACTGCCAAGGTGAAGGCACTGTGCGACCAGGTTCAGGCCAACGGGATCGCTTCCTTCCCACCTTAGACCACTCACCTCAGATCTGAGGGTCTCATGATACAGACTCCCTGGAAAGCACTGAATCACCATACAAACAGAAGTTACTGACTAGTATGACTCACTCTGAATTGTCTTAAAGGCCACCCGAGTCAGGAAGTGGGCACAAGAAAACGAAAAGGGGCATTTCCATATTTTTTTCCATTCAGATACTAATCAGATGAAAAACAATCTTCACTCTCACAAAATCTATTAAAACATCTCAAATGCAATATGTAATTAGAAATCTATAGGAGGCATATAGAGAAGGAGCAGGGAGATGGCACAGGATGCAGTCACAGGTACTCCCACGGAAACTGAACTGAAAAGGGCCCTCACCTGGTAAATGACTGACCCTGTTGGGTAAGGTTACTACTCTGGGTACTGAATAAGAATTAAGGTTAATCTGGGGGCTCAACAGGAAACATGAGGACTTCAGGGAAGCTGGTGTCTCCTTTAAAATAAAAATCTACTTTTTACACTGCCATAAACGTATCTGAGGCAGACAGATCAGGCTATACCCAAATACTTTTTGTTGAAAGCAGCACGACTAATGTTAAAAATTGCCCTAATAACATATGGCCTTAGGCTGGATCACATATGGATTAGGCTGATGTCCTCTCTGTATACTCAAGATGGTAACATGGTGACATTGCCAAGGAGGGGCTGGATTCCAGACAGCCTTACAGGAGCACAAGACATACTCTGCTGCTTGTTCTAACCTCCGAGAGTCTACTGGCAAGCTTGTCACAGGAGAGCCCTGCTCTCTCGTTCTCCTCCCTTCTCACCTCCCCCCAAAAGTCAACTTGGTTGTCTTACCTCTGCAAACAAAGGAGAAATAATTGTAGATAAACACTGAGAGAAAGGCCTCTTTGGGATGTCTTTCATCTTGGGGAAGAAAAAAGGTGATTAGAAATATTTAATTCATATTTTCAAAAATTGAATAAACTTCAGATAGCTGCTATCCAAATATAATGCCTGCGATGTTCTCTGTTCTCTACAAAATCTGAATTGGACTGTTTTACTATCTTTCACTGGACAACAAAGTTCCATTAGCACTAACATGCAAAAACAGTGCCTGGATTCCCCATGGAAAGGAAACAGGGGTCCAGAAAATGGCACTTTGCGGATACAGGCAACGCTGAATTGTACCGCTGTGCTACCTATATAGGAGGACTTTACTAATGAAACCCTGGAAATGGAGATCAGATCAAAGATGGCTACTGCAAGTGGCTGTCATAAAACACTAGCCTTTTTCATTTTACTTTTGGAAACTATCTGAATATGTAATGACTCCTATCCATTTATCAAAGCAGGACTTAATCGGAACACCAGGGGATGGCCACTGGTCAACACTGCCTGAGAGAAACTTCACCCCTAAAAATCCTAAAAATAGCTTTTCATAAATTTAAAACAGGCATGAAATCAATTAATCAAAATAAAGTTTTATGTAACTATCAAAAAGCAATACATTTGTTTTTAAGATTTTTTCCAACTACAGTTGACACCCAATATTATTTTATATTAGTTTCAGGTGTACAGCATAGTGATTAGACATTTACATAATTTACAAAGTGATCCCCCCAATTAGTCTAGTACACACCTGACACCATTTACAGTTATTACAATATTACTATGTTCCTTATGCTGCATCCTCATGGCTATTTTATAACTGCCAATTTTTACTTCTTGATCCTTTAATCTTTTCACCCAGGCCCACAACCTTCCCTTCCATCTGGCAACCATCAGTTTATTCTGTAAGTTTTGTTTTTCTTTTGTTCATTTATTTTGTTTATTTTTTTAAGATTCCACATAAGTAAAATCACATGGCACTTGTTCTTCTCTGTCTGCCATTTCATTTAGCATAAAAACCATCTAGGTTCTTCCATGTTGTCACAAATGGTAAATTTTCATCCTTTTTTATGTCTGAGTAGTAGTCCATTGTATATATGTACTACATCTTCTTTATCCATTTGTTTATTGATGGGTATTTAAGTTGCTTAATATCTTGGCTATTATAAACAACACTGCAATGAACATAAGGGTGCATATATTCTTTCAAATTAGTGTTTTGGATGTCTTCATAGAAATATCCAGAAGCGGAGTTGCTGAGTCATATGGTAGCTCTATTTTAATTTTTGGAGGAACTTCCATACTGTTTTCCATGGTAGCTGCTCCAATTTGCAATCGCTCCAATTTGCAATCTCACCAATAATGCAATCCCACCAAGGGTTCCCTTTTCTCTACATCCTCACCAACACTTGTTTGTTGATTTATTGATGACAACTATTCTATCAGGTGTGAGGTAGTATTTCATTGTGTTTTTAGCAACTTTAAATAAAAATTAATCCCAAAATTCTAGTACCTAACATGAATGACTGACTCTATACAAAACAGGAACAGTCCTGTCAAGAGAACTTGAAAGTCATTTCATGTATGAAACCTCACCCCACAACCCATGACTCCCACTATACGCTGACTCCACAGGACAGCAGGAGAGGAGAGGAAATTAGCACTGTAGGTCTGACTCTCTGAGTAACAAGACAGAACAAAATCTCTTGCTGTCAATTCACTGACAGCAAAATTCCAAAACAGGCTTCCATGAGGGATCACCTAGTCTCCTAACACAATCACAGAAAAGTGACTGAAAAATGCTACTGACCGATGACAAGTATAAGTCACTCTAGTATGAGTAAACGTACCTTATTTCTTTCTAAATCTGATGGCTGAAGAGCTCCATTCTCAAGACTCTTTGGATCTTTCTCTCGGATCGTGAAGATCCAGTCCCCCGAGTCGCTGCCTCCAGCTGCTTGGCCGTCTGCATCCGTTTCCCTTAACACAGAAACCCAGGAGAACTCCGTAACTGACCTGGCTCTGCGGGAGCTAAGATTTCACAGAGAAGACCCACTGGTGGCCTCTCAAACCACAACTGAGAAGTCAATATTGCCCAGCTACCATGCATGCCTTCTCTGTCTCACTCTCACACTCCACAACTACTTCCAACTTCTCCACTCCCCACCAGCGACGCCCACACCCATTCCCTCCTGGGCTTCAGAAGACAAGCCTGCCTCCTACCTTACAGAGGAGACCATAAGAATGTGGTTCCCATAATGTCCCACAGTTCCATCTGCATGCACGCCCACCCCTCCCACCTCTTCCTCAAATGGAAAGCAGCATCTCTTCCCCTGCAGAACAATCCTCTACTCCACTGACAGCCCCTTTCTCTAGACTTTTGTCCCCTTAGGCTCCTTCTCACCCAAGATTCAAAATGCAAAGCTTTTGCTTACTCAACACTGCCTCCCTTCTACCTACAACCAGTCTCTCTGCCACAGTTCTTGAATGTTACTACACTCACTGCCTCCATTTCCTACCTTCCACACACTCTTAAACTCACACTCTCCCCCTGCAACTGCTATGACCAAGGAACCAAGCCTCTATATACCATTAGACAAAAGTGTTACTGATTAGTCCTTATCCTGCTTGAACTTTCAGCAGGAAATGATCCTGCTGATCACACACACCTTCTTTAGATGCTCCAGACTCCTCTCGTAGGGCCACACTGTGTTTTATTTTCTTCTGACCCATGTCATTCCCAGGCTCACCTGTTATGCTGGCATTTCCTAGAATTTGGTCCTAAGCCTCAGGCCCTCCTCATTCTTTAGATTATGCTGTGAATAATACCATTTGTTCTCATGGCTCCAATGACCATTTACAAAGTAGTGATTCATAAATCAGTATTATCTGCCAAGACATTCTCCTAATCTCTCTAAACCTCAATGTCATTCTCAACTAAGCCCTCATGGTCATCCTCTCAGCAACAAACATGTCCCACACCAAACTCAATTTCCTGTACCCTAGCCTCCCTAAACCAGCCTCTTCTCCAGTGTCATCATCTCAACAATACCCACCACACTGATGAAGCCAGGACTATCTCCTCCTCCTTTACCCAAACCCAGGACCACGCCCAGACTCTCTGTTCATCTTTCCATCCCAATTTCTTAACATAACCACCTCAACAAATTCCAAATCAGTGTGTCTCACTCTTGGCTTTATAAAGGAATCACCTGGAACTTTAAAAAAACACTTGGATCTCATGCCCAGAAATTTGGATTCAACTAGCTTGGCTTCCCTTCCTCTTCTATGTACTGAAAAGGCTCCTAGGCCTAATTCATCTTTTTAGCTAACAGAATTCCTAGATGCTTAACTTTGGTACCAGTTTTTAGTAACTTTCTGGTACAGAGCTTTTACAATGTCCAGCATCTACTAGAACACAACACAGAATCACAAAAACATACAATGTATCTTCCTAAAATATACATATTTAAAGCAGTTTCAGCTGATCAGTATTGTGAGAGCAGAAAGTATAACTAAGGCAAAAGAAACAAGTCAAGGTCACTTTATACAATTTTATCACATAGATTTTATGCAGGAAAACTCCACTGACAACAAAAAGAAGCTAAAAGATGCCCAAACAGCCCCATACTGACACAAGGAGTACAATCAACCTGGATTATTCAAGGGAAGGGAGAGGAGGGGAGGGGCCTAAAGCCCACACAAGGAAGGGACTAGAACAAACAGCCCACTCACCACGCCACCTTCCCACTGTGCCACCTTCTCCCCCAGCCCCCCTGGTCTGTAGCTCAGGCATAGAGCAGTCATGGACATACCACCTGGCTCACACACACTTGCATGGCTCAGGCAGAGCCAACAGCTTACGTGTCAGAATCTTCAGAGCTGGAGTCTTCATGGCTCTGTTCGGCCTTCCACCTCTTGTACCTGTCAATGAGCTCTGTCAAGTAGGAAGTTTTCTTCGCATTGCGTATTATAAACTTGTGTTTCAGTAACTCCTTAGCAGTAGGTCTCTGGAAGACAAACCACCAAACAAAGAAAAGAGAAAGAAATAAGATGAAGTCCCTATGTTCTACTTGATTCTATCCCGAAGATCAGACTTCTGCCTCAAAATGTCAAACCACACTAATACCTAAAGATCAAGTTCTACTTCAAAGTTTTTTTCCCCTAAGACCTATCCAAAGAATAGCCATTCGGCACTTGTCTGTGGGACACGATGTACTATGTTGACATAACATTCAGTATCTAATGTTAAATTCTCAAGAAACCATCCAATGAAAGCAAGAGAACTTACACCAAAACAAGCATTTACCTAGAAAACGCTCCAGAAAATTTCACAAAGATCATTCAAAAGGGCAAGTATATGCCTCCTAGTTTTTATAAACCATTTTACTGCAAATGCTGGCAAGAGAGAAAATATATTTTGTATTATCTTGTTAATTTTCTGTATTAATGTTTCTCTCCACCATCCCCTCCCCAAAATAAAGAAAAATATTCATTTGGCTCCGCCTAGAAGAAACTAGAAAGGAGCCAAAAGTTACCCTTTCCTTGGTTGCTGAAAGAGTATCTCAGTTCTTAGTCATCCAGCCCTCTCAATTTATAAATGCGGGTGTCCCAGGTCTGCCTCTTTTGAGGTGGTCGGGGTGAGGACTTCATCCAGGCCCTGGGCTCAGAATGGCTGCAGCCGGACAGCATGCTTTGAACTCAGTCAAGTGCTTTGCCCCTTAGGCTGGCAAAACAAATTATAGGGAGCATGCTTCCCAAGGAAGCTGAGTGAAGCCCAAATAGGAACAGGCGGCAGGAACACACAAACAATGTTGAATCAGACTAAACTCCCACTTATTCTGAATTACTAAAGCTTTATTAACAAGAGCCAGGCATGTTTCTCAAATTTAAGCTTGTGAAAAACCTTGGCCACCTCAGGTATTTCTCTCTCCCTGTCCAGGTGATTGTGAAACTTCAAGTATCTCAGAAGTGCTCACATTCTCAGCTCCTCATGCTTCTCAGTGAATGTGGGGTCAAGGTAGGGGTTGAGAAAATAAGCCAATACCAACAGGGTATTTTTAATGGTAAAATGTACATGCGTATGGGTGTATCTTCTTGGGTGCTGGTGCCTTGTGATTAGGAGCTAACATCATGATACAAGGTTTAGAGGATGATGGCCTCGTAGAACAACAGCCTGACACTGCCAATGCCTGCTGTACTCCGCATCTCCTGGAAGAGGTGTCCAACCTTTTGGCATCTCTGCGCCACACTGGAAGAATTGTCATCTTGGGCCACACATTAAATACATTATGACACGTAATCACAAAAACAAAAAAAAAAAATCATGTTTTAAAGTAAATTTATGATTTTTTGTGTTGGGCTGCATTCACAGCCATCCTGGGCCACATGTGGCCCATGGGCCACAGGTTGGACACTCCTACAAGAGGATCTCAGAATACGCTGCACTCCCTTTTTAATCCTGCTCTTGTAAAGCTAATCACCCATGTTTTAGATAAGAGTAATTAATCAAAGGGGGTCCGGCTAACCCTGCTGGAAAATTCATAAACAAAAACAAGGACATATGCTGCTATATATAACACCAAAATATACAGAGAGCTTTCAAAGAAGTCCTAATTCAGAGAGAAAATTAGGCTTAAAGCTATGTAGTTGTTACTGCTACACAGCTCCATCAGAGTCAATCAAACATGAAGAAAAGGAAGAGGCGTAAGTGAAGTGGGTGGTTCATTTATATTTTATTTGCTTTTCCTTTCCTGACATGTGCCAAGAAGAAACTGAAAACATTTACTCTAAAAAATATTTAACCATTATTTTTCAGGCCAGACTTTGAAATTACTGAAAAAAAAAACATAATAGTTCATAGCCTAACCTTCCACTATAAATATTAAAAACTTATGATTATACATATAATATTAAGGAGAACAGTCTTCAAAGCTCAATGAGGTACGAGACACTAAGAAATATGAAAAATAAATTTTAATCCTTCAGAGAAAAACAATAAAATATATTTACAATGCAAAGATACAAATCTTACACATTTAGAAAAAGAAAAAAACTGAGATTGTGAAGACAGCTGACATCAGTGATTTAAAAAATTCACTAAGATGTATCTAGACCAACTCAGGACACACATGAAGAGGTGCCCGCCCATTCTGATCTCATGAAACTCACAAAGCTCGGCTCCTTGTTCAAACAGGCCTCAACAAACTCCTTGAGGGGTTTGCTATAGTTTCCTTCCAGAGTCGGGGGATTGTTCTTTGGAATGAGGAATAAAACCTTCATGGGGTGCAGCTCAGAATGAGGTGGTTCCCCTTTTGCAAGCTCTATAGCTGTTATGCCCAGGGACCAGATGTCTGCCTGCAACAAAAAAAAAAAAGATCTTTAGAGACCTACCAAGCAGGAATAAATTCAAACAGGAGTAAATTCAGATAAATATACAAGGCCTGTCCAGAAGGTATCCACCCCAGCCATGTAATAGGAAAAAGAGACATTTATTGAAGAAGATACAAGATACAAGAAACACTGTACACAGGACAATGATGCCTCAGTCCCCTTCCAAGGAGGTACCTTGGGACCTCACAGAGTTCTCCCAATCACCATCATATGCCCTGTTGTTATTCTCCTGAATCTCATTGATGGCCTGAAAATTCTTCCCTTTTAAAGGTGATTTTACTTATGGGAAAAGCCAGAAGTCAAAGGGCACCAAATATGGGCTGTAGGGGGCTGAGTCACCTGGGTGATTTAATGTTTTGCCAAAAACCTCTGCACATGACGTGATGCATGAGTGGGCACGCTGTCATGATAAAGCTGCCAATCACCAGTTGCCCATTGCTGTGGCCTTCTGAATCATCCGAATAGTTTAAACAGAGGAGTGTTCAAGCTTAATGCAAAATTTGATGCAGATTTGTTGCTCTGCTCGCTCAGTCATTTTGAGTGTACTAACCACACAGTACAAATGCTCACTAAACAGCATCTACCACCTCAACTGATAGTACAGTGAAGTCATCATTGCTCATGCACAAACATTCCAGTCCACTCTCCTTGGCTACCAGGTTACATCGATGTCACACAAACTGTTCTCGTCATAGTAACAATGGCTGGACTTTTTCCAGATAGACCTCATACTTCTTACAAAAAAAATTACCTTTCAATGTACTTTCAAGGTTTTGAAAACATTATTTTTAACGAAAAATAAAAAATATAAGCTTTTAGTTTAATTTCAAAATAGGCAAGGCACAAGAGAAGATAAAACATCTTGTATCTATGAACTGAAGGCGGCTTTAATGATTACTCCTCTTCCACTCACTGTTGGAGGTATAACACATTCAATGTCAACTGTAGTCCTTGAATCAGTCAGTAGGATAGGTCATCAGAGGTGAGAAGAGAGGGCAGATCTGGGGAGCGGAGGTATGTTTGCCAGCTAAGCAATGCTTAAAACTAATGTAATGCTCTGACACTGGGAACAGCTATCCTAGTCTCACAGACTGCTAAGTTTAAATGCTAGCTCTATCACAAAAGTCCTGTGATGTCAGATAAAATACCTAATCAGTAAGCCTAGTTCCCTCATCTGTAAAATGGGAATAACAACATGTTGGTTGTGCAAGGTGCCTAACCCAATTGCCTAGAATTTAATGTTCAAACACACAAAGTGGGAAAATATATAATGCACCCTCCTATACTTATTATATGAATTTCATAATCATTAACATGAGTTTTGTAATATATGACAAATAATAGACTACAAAAGCCATGACATTTTCCCCAAGTATTTCAGTTTACCAATATAGTTTTTATTACTTATCAACATCTAAAATTAACAAAAATTCCTTATCATGTAATAATTAAATATTATGTAATAATTTAATATTATGTAATAATTAAATTTTCTCAGCTGTTCAAAAAAAGTCTTTTCATGGTTGGTTTATTTGAATCAGGATCCAAACAAGGCCCTTATGTTGTAATTGACTGTTAGGTGGCCTAAAACTCTTTAATCTACAGTAATTCACTCCCTAATCTCCCCAGTGTCACTAACCTGAGGAAAAAATAAGCCCAAATTCTGGATTTGTCTGATTTCTTACTGGTGTTATTTAATGTGTTCTTTTAGCTCTAACGTTTCCTATCAAATACCCAATGGGTTAATTAAATCTAGAGGCTTGGTTAGATTCACTGTTGGGCAGAAACCTGGGGTGTTATGTGGAGGCATCCAATGTACAGCTGCCTGACCCCACCTCCTGCTCAGCATGTGCTTGTGGCCTCATGGGGACCAGAGGGCCAAACCTCTACTGTACTCTGTCTAGTACAGCTTCCCAGCTCTTATTACTGCACACTGTAAACTCATCATAACCCCAGGCAATTCAGTGAGAACCTAATAAATCTCTCACACTCACCCTGCGGCAAGGAAATGGAAAGTCTACCAACACCGCTTAGATCACCAAAGGACCCAGATATTTTCCACCTTTAATGACCTGGAAAGGACTCACTTGCCATGTTCCTGCCATCCTTGTGAGTACAACAGACCCTCACTACAATGTGCCCAGCACATATGCCTACCACATACTCTACTTCTTGTTGTCAGGGAACGTGGGAATAAGCAAGCCCTGTCCTAAATTATTTGTACTAAATGCTAGTAAAGGTCTAGATAAACCACTATGAAGAGTAATATGCCTATTTTCCTTTCATCTGCAACCTACACTCTGCTTTATATTACATGTGTATTATTTTAAAAAACAGCAAGACATGACTTATTCCAGAGTCCCTCCTCTGCAGGAGGAGGAAGATAGGTGCAAAGGAGCATGCCGGCAGTGAGCACCAATGACTATAAAGTGGCAAGAGGACATGAGCAGTGTGCAGGTACAAGGAGGGAGGACAACATGCAAGAACAGAGGAGACAGATATGACAAATGCATGATTTCATATGGCAGTGGCCTTTTACCCAACAGGTTCCTTTCTAAAGTTTGAATGGTTCCCATCTGTCTGCCTACTCCACCCTCTTGGATTTCACTAGAGATGTTTCTGTTTGCAAAACCTGTTGCTCAGCACCAATTTGCATCATCACCATACAGATGCATGACCTCTGTCCAGATGAACTCTGATAGGTCTACCTCCAGACCACTCCACATCCTGATACCACTTAAACACACTCCCTAGGCTGATCATGAGGTCTGCTGGCAGTCTGTCGTGAGATGTGCTGGCACTGATTTCCCACGGTGGTCCAAGGGCTTGCTATTGGGCTCTAAGCCAGACAATAAACAAACAGGCAGCAAGACTTTGAGGACCTGGCAGTTGCTTCCACCTGTCAAGATGGACCAATTAAAGTCAACTGAGGAAACAGCATTCCCAGCCCCACCTATTAGACATCTCCGAGTCTCCAGAGAAGAGGCAGAAGCAGCACTCAATTGCTTCCCCTGGGAGAGTGACCAGCAAACCTTCGTCAGGATGGTACATGTACCAACCTCCCAGGCAGCCTAGCCAGGACCCAGAGTGTCACCCCAGCCTCTTGGAACCCTTCTTTGAACCCTTCTAAATCGCCAGGTGCCAATGCAGCTCTCAACAACTTGGTGCCTTGGGTCGCCACTAGCCCTCTTGCCCTGGCTTAGTTTTCTCGTTCAGAGCTATCCTTTCTCCCTGGGAGTTCTTTCTTCCTTTTTTATTTTCTTTAAATATTTTATTTATTTATTTTTACAGAGAGGGGAAGGAAGGGAGAAAGTCAGAGAGAGAAAAACATGGACATGTGAGAGATACATCGATCAGTTGCTTCTCGCACGCCCCCAACTGTGGACTTGGTCAGCAACACAGGCATGTGTCCCAGCTGGGAATCAAACTGATGTCCTTCTGGTTCACAAATGGGTACTCAATCCACTCAATCCACACCAGCCAGGGTTCTCCCTGGGATTTCTATAGGGGCTCCTAACTGTCTTCCTGACTGCAGGCTCCCTCTGCTGACATCTAACATCTTCCTGACTGGTCAGTAAACCTTGACTGGCACTAAAATAACTGTGAAGCAATTTGACATCATGTCTCAAAAGCCATAAAAAGATCCAAACTTGTTAAAACCAATTAATTCCACTTCCAGGAATCTATCCTAAATTTTAGATTTAGAAAATGGTACATGCTACCAAAATATTCAATGGCAGCATTACTTACGCTAAACCTTAGAAGAATGACTAAGTTACTATGGCACGTTGACTTACAGAAGTATCAAGCACTCAACAACAATGATGTTGAGAGGGAATCATAAATTATTTAGCACAGCACTGGGTACAACTACAGTGAAGGCTGAATGAATGAGTATAGAGAGAAAGACATGAAACAGGTAAAATCTTCAGCCCAGTCCAATCCATTTGGTGACACATCATCATAATAACCTTCCCAGGGAGCCGGCGGGCGCTGCTACAGGATTAAAGTTCTGCAGCCCAAGACCCTGCTCCAGCATTGAAAGCAAAGGCTTCCTTGTCAGAGAGCAGTTATCTGCCTGGGCACCATCTTCAAAGTTTGGGGGCTTCTTAAGTAAGCCAATCTACTCTAAATCACCTACATGATAATAACAATTATGATAAAGGTTGTAAGCTATCATGACTTAGTAATACTTTGCTTAGGTTAAGAACTGAGATCGATGTTAAGATTCCCTGCATGGGCAAACACATTCAGAACACCGAAGAAGCCCAGACAAATAACAAGGGGTCATAGATACCAGTTTAAGAATTAACTGTGTTAAACAAGATTCTAGACATACACATAAAACTAAGACTTAGTCCTGACCAGTGTGGCTAAATTGGTTTGGCACTGACCCAAAAAGCAAAAGGTCATGGGTTCAAGTCCCAGTCAGGGCACACGCCTGGGTTGCAGGGTCAGTCCCTCGTCAGGGCATGTATGAGAAGCAGCCAATGTTTCTCTCTCTCTTCCTTCCTTCTATTCTCTCTCTCTTTAAAACAAAAACAAAAAACAAAACACCTATGACTTACATTCCTTTTAGTTCTATGAGATGAAGATGCCAACAAGGCACATAAATCCTTTTCTTTTCCTAGCCCAATCTTCCTTTGAGAATCACTGTGATACCCAAAGATGAAACTGATGGGAGCATGCTCTTATGACAACAGTAACAGAACAAGCCCTGCTACCCTAAGGCTGTTAAGCTCTATGTGTAAATACAGAGACTAGTTGGTAAAATGTCCAGAAGATACACAGAGAAAAATGGAAGGGAAAAATGGAAAGAAGCTGAATTAAGCTAGTGTATCAGGAGACCAGTGACCAAAATGGCAACAGTGCTCCTCAAAGAACATAAACTGCCCCATCAGGCAAAAGCTGTGGTGAGGGCAAGCAGTCACTGGAAGGCTATTCCACAAAGCAACCTCAGGAAA